ACTGGCATTTATCTCGAATTGTGTCAATTCACATCGAATAATACCGCATTACGGACAATAGCAGATGAACTGACAATAGAATTTGCATTCATGGAGATCGTAGAATGCTGCTATCATTGAAAACGAATTTTCCAACGTTTATATAATCCCTGGGTTGATCAAATTCGCTGTGGCACTGTAAACGTCAATCAAAATGTATCTATTGTCATGTAATGCTGAATTACTCATGTTAAGTAATGGCAATCAGAGCTCATTTTATATATCTTTTTGGATACATAACCAACATCGGTTATAATGAAGATAATGAAAAAAATATATTTTAATATTAACCACTAGTTGACCTGTGTAAACAATGCGCATATTATATCGATAAGTTAATATAAAATAATAATAAGAATACGCAATAAATGAAGAGGTATTTTTTTCTTGGACAGTTACAATGAATTATTATTGAAAATAAACCAAAACGTATGAAAAGAATTTAATAGGCTATATCTTTTCTCATAATAATCTATTTTCAAAAAAATAAACATTATAGTTTTGTAGGGAATTTAGAAACTTTTCAGGTTCTTGAGGTAATGATAGTTACTTGTGTGTATACTTTTTTTTAATTATACGCAAATAAATTTTGGGCAAAGAAAAATAAAAGGTGCTCTTTTTTCCCATCTGAAGAAGAAAGAAATATGATGGTCCAATGCTAAGACTCAATGAAATACCGACGAAAAAAGAATTTTGAGCTATAATATATGACGATAGCTAATACAAAATACTGCTCTGGCTCCTATTCAATCTGATCAATTTTAATTAGGAATTTGTTTTTATTGATTTTAAAAGTTTAAATGCAGTCTGCCACACTAAAGGGCATTTGTACTTGAGATGCAGTATTCATTCATACAATATATTCATGCTATATATATAAAGGAATATAAATATAAATAAAAAAGGAAAATATATAGATAAATAAAAAGATAAAGTAAATAAGATAAAAAGAATTAATATGCATGTATATAAAATAAATAATATAATAGATTGAAGCTGGATAATAATAAAACAAATAAAATATATTCACATCTGTGTACAATATTTACATTGGCCCAGAGAATTCTGAATCAATCTTTGTCTTCCAAAAGTGGGAGGCAAAGCAGAACTCCAGCAGATCCCCGTACTTCTCTTCCAGCTGCATCACTGGTATTAATTAGGATATTAAATAAATAAAAACTCGCCTAACAGAATCTACATCATCTTACAAACAGATGATTAGAGCAGGTTTCTAAAAATTCTGCTTAACCAAGCCAAATCCCTATTCATTGCTTTTACACTTTGACAAAAGTTCATCTGGACAAACACTTCACAGATATACGCTACATCCAAAACGAGCTACATACGAAAATGTTTAATTTAACGCTAAACGTTCAAAACTATAACTAAATCTCCATAGTACGTCAAAAACCATAATTTTACATAAATTATTTATATGATACTTCGCGTGCCAATAGTTGGCAACCACATAGGTCACACTGCAAACGTTTTCACTATATCTTACCTCATAGACTAACAAACTAACACAAGCTACAATTACCATTCCTGCTACATAAAAGGCTAAAAACAAGCTGAATGAGAGATCGCCTTGTTTAAAAAGTTTACGAACATCAACATTAGAAGAGATGACGCTGGGCAATCTATTTCCTCTTGGCTATCACGACTATTATTCTTTCCGACAACAGATGCACGGGTGTCAATATTTCTGACAGTTGTATGTTAAGGAAAAAAGAAAGAAATTAGACCGAATAATCGCCTAACATACATAGAGCAAGAAAAAAATACAGATAACGTTAAATGTATGTATTTATTTATTTTATTTATTTATTAATGATATTATTGTGTTTCTATGTATCCACCTTGTCACCCTTGCTCAAATATGTATTTATTTTATCTAATTTGCGTTCAAAAACTCTTAATAGACATGTTATAATTTATCCAATCGCTAAAAAATAATCTAAAAGGCGATGAGTTAAGATTTGTAGTCACACCAAACTGCGATTATAACAAACCCTCCCCTAAATTTAATTACTGATACAAGGGAGGAAGTTGCTGTTAAATGGCCGAAGCAGGGCTGTTTATGAAGAGGCCAGTTGCCGTTAATTATATTACAATCGCCGATAATGGTCTTCCTGTTTTTGGCCCCCATCCTCTCCAGGCTGTTCTCATCCATTGGGGCCTCAGGCACGTTGTGGCCCACCTCTTTTTGCAAGGATATCCAGAGAATCATTAAATAGAACTTTAAAAAATACAATTAAAATTACAGTATTGAATATTTAATAGTTGACCGTTTTGTATTTTATTTTTGTATTTTGTATAAGAGGAAATAGCCCGGGGTGGAGGTCATAAATAGACTAAAATAGTGGAAAACTATTTTATTTCAAGCCAACTTTTCGACCCGACTTATCAGGTCTTCTTCAGGACTATAGCGGAAAAGATACAAAAAGATATAGAAAATTGTGGAAGTTACATAATATTTAGATAAAAATTATAAAGGAGGTGAATAAACTTATTGAAATTATAAACAGTTAGAACATTGAAACATTAAGAACAATAAACTATATAAACGGAGTAGACTAAGTAATAAGATCCTAAACTGAAGTAAATAAATGGTAGCACTTGTTGTAGTATAATATACGGAATTCTAAATATACTCCTACAAATTTCATGGAGGGATTGGAATAAAAAAATAAATATTATGAAGTAATGGCATAAAGGGATGTGAAGAAAGAAAAAAAAATTAAAAAAAGAATAAAAAACATAGACTTACAGTTAGTGTTGACCAAATGCGAGACCGAGACGAATCTTGGTATTTCAAACTCAGTCTTGGTGATGTTCTTGCGCAAGAGTCTTGCAGTTACTTATTAGCTTATTACTGTAGAGATATTACTGTATTTTTTTAGATAAGAGAAACCTAACTAAGCCCGAATAAAAAATTAGAGGAGTTAAATGAGAAAGTATATTGGTTGTACCAATTATTTACATATAGTAACTAAGATTGTATAGTAATAACAACTATTTTGCCATAACGTTTATTCAAAAAATCGAAAAAAAATTTTTACCAGTCCTGATCTTGGTCTTGCAACAGTTAGGCCGCCTTGGTCTTGGTCTTGCAAAGTTTAGTTTAGCAGCAAGGAGGTTTAGTTAAAACTGGGAAAACTTGGGTAGAGGGGTTGGGGAAATTTGCTGACCTGGTTGGGCAGTGGTGAGGGGGTAAGTTGTTATATATAAGCAAATCAAAACCTAGAATATTACAGTATCTACAACTTGAAGATATTGATGTATACAAGAACAAATACAATATCTATGAACTGTTTGTTTGTTTCGATGTCTAGGCGCAAAACATTTAGGTCATCTGCGCCTGATCAACTAAATAACACTACTTTTATACTGTTTGGATGGCTGATACAAAAAATAAGAATAAAAAAAGGATAAAAATAACTAAATAAAAGGATTGATAGAATAAAATAAATAAATAAAAATAACAATAGACACTTATAGATAATAAGTTAGAATAGATAAATAAATAAACTTTAAGAAAATAGAAATAAAACCAGTAAATGAATTGAAATTAATAACCAAATTAACTTGTGATAAAAAAATAAAATGAAATAAAGTAAATAAAAAATAATAATGAATCTGCAAATGATCATAATTTATAAACTTGTCATATATGTTGTTTAAGTCATTCATTATCTAGGAACTTGATAACTTTGGTAACGATTTCTTCTTGATTTATCAGGGATGCTGATATATTCTGGGGTATTCCTAGATCTTTTAACCTTTCGGTGTAAAAAGGGCACTCTTCCAAAACATGTTTTATGGTTAATGATTGGTCACGCTATGAACTAATAAATTATAAATATATACATATACATATAAAATAGAATGAATAAATTATAGATAGAAGTACAATGTGAATGAGAACAAAAATGAAAGGAGTAAAACGTACATTCAATTCATTAAAGTATGTAAAACCTTTTACAAACTCTACAACTTTAGAATAGAATAGAATAGATAATAATTTTATCCTGGAATAAAATCCCTTTGGAATAACAAAAAAGTATAAAATTAAAATATTATGTCTGGCCTAAATAAAAACAAGCATGAAAAGTTAAAAAAAAAAGAGAAATAATTAAAGAAAATATTAGTTGAATATACTATATACAAAATAAATAAAAAATTCTTTATACTAAACACATGAAACCATTCCAAGACACTTAAAACTATGCACAGTGTTAAAATATAAATATAAACTTTCAAAGAAAAAAATAGAATAAAAAATACATTACATTCTTCTTAGCAGTAAACTATGTGTTTCTGTTGAAAAAAAAAAGAAAGTCGAATCTGATAGTAAGTTTCTAAGTGATGAGTTATATGTAAATACATCATTTTGAATAATACGTAATTTTACATAACGTCTAAGATGTTTATTTTTATTACTTTTTTTTCTCAAAGAAAATTTTAATTCTATTATTCCTATTATTTATACTTTCTTCCTTCACTATGATATTTTATTTTGTTCTTATATAGCTTTATTTTGAAATTACCTTATTTATTTTGTAAATATGGTGTGAATGTGCTCTCAGAACTCTATTATAAATGTCCTTTATTGAGAAAGGTTGTAATATTTATCAATAAACGAATAATCCAGTAAAAAAAAAAAAAAAACATAAAAGGTTAGCGGGTATCTGACTAATTCTGCCACTTTTTTAGAGTAGGAGATTTTATTCAAAATGTGATTTATTTTTATTATTTTTTTTTTTTTTGTCCGGGAAGATATTTATTTTTTCCTCCGAAGTAGGTCTCTAACTTACTGAATAAATCGAAATAGTGGTAGTATAATGTATAATACCTTGAATATTTATTATTAGCCTTCGGAATACATGAGTGTAGACCTCGCTGTGGGGCAATTAAGACTTCTATGCTAAAAATGTCGAAGTGGCAGAGAGGGAGAGAGGATGGCAGGGGTGAGGGATGCCCTGGCTGACAGAGGCAAGCACCTCAGACGAATGAAGGACATAGATCTGCTCCGCCTCAAGCTCCTGTTAATGAAGAGGAGTGATTAGCTCAAGTGACGGGGCATAACTCAGCAGCTACCAGTTAATCCCCGCTCAAGTCCCGACTTTTTACCCACTTTTTCAAAGAATTAGTGTCCGACTTAGCCGCGCGGTCGGGTCAGGATTAATTTTATTTATTGGCCCCTAAAATCGGGGACTTAAATTAGCCTAGTGGGCTTAGAGGACTTGATTAAAAAACTGAAGCCTTTTATACCTCTTCTGAGTTAGAGTTCGGCCGTAGCTCTTAAGCCCTTACTAAGCCCGCATGGTTTTTACTGCTATCGCTGCCTCATATTTCCGAATTCTTATCCTCCTAATTTCTGGGTAGCGCTGATTAATGAACCTGTCATGGTCAACACGTTTTTATTATATCTACTGAAATATTAAAAATATATCGTGTAACTTCTTTCAAAATGAAATTAAAGCTTAAATTCGGCTAAATATATTCCTCTTTATTTACAATTTTATAAATTTATAACAAAGCTTTTATATGAGTTTTATAGCGATGTTGAGATTTTTTTTCCAGATAATTTGTTTATGATTTTCAGGTATAGTCATCATCAAATTAATGAAAAACACATTTTTTTTTTTTTTTTTTTTGTATTCCTCCATTCGACTTTGAATATCCAAAGTACAATCCTAATACATATTTTTTGGAAATCAAGAAAGGTAACGATTTCCGAATAAAAATGCCCAATAAATCCGATGGCTTAATTTTTTTTTTTTATATATAAACCTAAAAATGACTTGAAGGTTTGTTTATTTTTGAAACTTCCTTTTTCACGAACCGGAAAGAAACGCATTTCTTTGGTATATTTGAAAAAACAATTCATCAAAATTTATTTCCACAGTTTTATTAAAATTAAATTAATTTTAAAGTAAATTAATTTGATTGTGTTTTAAAAGAAATTATTTTTTTACCTTACGATTATAGTTATGAAATATTATAGTTATAGTTATAACTGGTCTTGAGATTTAATTGAAATAATAAGGGATTTTTAGAAACATACGTTTTTTTAAATATTGGTTTTGATATTATAATTTGAATTAAAAATATAGCTTTTCACGTTTCTTAAAGAAATACTAATGATGATTAGGGTTTATGTTGCAAATATATGATTTATTTGAGATTTTGTTGAAACTAGCCGTAGTTTTCTGCTTTAAAGTCTAAAATATTGTTGTTTTAAATAGAATATTTTTATTTTATTTTAAAAGAGGTGATTTAATCAACTCATTGTGTTTTCAAAGTTATCTTTAATGACGACATCTTGTTTAGAACAAAGAGTTTAAATAATTTATTTTTCAGTATTATTTCTTGTTTGAACAGAAAAATTGATATTATCAAAAAGGCTACAGTCATGGCAACCAATCCTATCAGTTTGCGTTTACACATGATATACTTGAAAATATCTGAATAAAACGATTGGATTTATTAAAAATTGCATACATTAAACTTGGAAGGAATGAGGAAAGCTTTCACAACATATATACATCTCCCTAACTTTTCCAGATAAAAATATAACGAAATAACTAGTTATATAAAATTTTCTATAAAAATATTCTCTATAAAATATATTTATACTTGTACTAATTAAATATATTTTTCCAAGTTTATCGTAGAAAATTTGCAAGATGCGTGGTTTAGCTGCTTAGAAGCTCATTTAATATGGTTTTAACAAGGATAAACTCTACTATCGTTTTTCTAATATTATGGAATAATTGTTCATTGTCTTAATTAAATATCGACAATTATTAATTTATTATGACAGTATTTATTAATACTAGCTTCTTTTAAAACGCTCAAAATTTAACCTAAAACAGAAACTGAACGGTTACATTTACCTATTTAAGCCCATATGGTCTACGCCTCACATTAGTGTTGCCCAAATGCGTGACCAAGATGATTCTTGGTCTTGCGAACCCAGTCTTGGTCATGGTCTTGGTCTTGCGCAAGAGTCTCGCATCAATTTTGTAGTTACCTATTAGATTATTGCTTAAGAGATATCACTGTAATTTATTATATAGGAGAAACCTAAATAATCCTGAATGAAAAATTAGAAGAGTTAAATGCAAAAGTATATTGGCTATACCGATTCTACACATATAATAACTAAAATTGTCAAGTATTGGTAACTATTTTGGGTTAATTTTTGTTTAAAAAGTTGATTTTTTTTCTACTAATCTTGGTCTTGGTCTTGCAACAGTTAGGCGGTCTTGGTCAACACTACTTCACATAAATACCAAACAGCCAAAACGACCCACATATGAAAACTAAAAAGTTTCCAGTCAACAAAATTCATACCTATCACTAAAGGTATATGATACCTCACAAACATTAATTTAAATAAAGACCTGCCCTTGCCAACAGTTAGCAACAACACACCGACGCACTAGAAAAGATTTCACAATAACACCCGGATACACTATCACACTTATACAAGGAATGGCTACAATTAACATGCCAATACTTCAAAGGATCAAAAGAAGTTAGATGAGGGATCTTATTGCTAAAAGAATATACTACAATCAAGAGAGGGAGGGATGCTTCTAGGCACTCCTCTCCCTCGCATCGATTAAGTTGTGATTGACCATTAGTTGTGTAAAAAAAATTATGTGATCTGATATCATGTCATCCTATAGTAAAATTGACTACAATAAATAAATATTGAAAAGTTTTTTTTTTAATTACCTGCCATTTATTATAACAGATAAATGGGAGCACAAATATAATTTTTAAAATGGAAAGAAATATTAAAAATATTACTTTTTTAAATATTTATTATATAAGGCTTTAATACAGAAGTATTTCTTGCCTAGATCATGGAAATCGATGCTTATTATTTTAGTGACCAATTAAATATACAACTATTCCATTGGCCTGCAATTTTCCCCAATATCATCTGGAAAATTCAGAGAATTGCAAAAGAAAATTGGTCAGGCACTCCTTATGCGTATTATTGTTTTATATTATTTATTAATCGTTATTTTATTTATGTTTTTGTATTGAATAAAAACTCACCCTGTGATCTCTTCCATAAAACCATTTGTATCTGACCTATGGTTAGTACATAAATCTGATGGAAAAGAGAGCTGGGCTGTATCGAACTAGTACAGACCTATCCATCAAGCGACCTTGTAATCGTATCTGTCAGGAGAGCTTACTGCGGTGACCCGACAACACAGCGAACGGGCGATCGTCCAAACAGCACAAAACACCATTTCATAACCCAGCGCTTTGCAATCGGATTTCAACAACGGTAGGGTTTTTGGAAATATGAATCACCTCATTTTATCGGAAAAACAACAATTAAATAAAGTTACCATAAACATACAATATTTATTTATAATTGCCAGGAGTGTCAGGTCCATTTTACTATGTGTTAGGGTCAGGGGTATTTCAAAATTGAAAATACAAATCTTTCCCCGGTGAGTTTCCTTAAGGGTTGGAAAAATTCGAGTAAAATTAAAGGGTGAGAAAGAAGGGAAAAAATGAGTGAATATGAGACCTGTAAAACATGAAAAATTCATTCACATCAAAACATTAAAATAAAAATATTAAAAAAATTAAATATGTTAAGATAAACAAATAAAAAATCTCCTTCTAAATGCTTACAATATTTATTAAGATAAAAAAATATATATATATAAAATAGTTAAAATATAAATAAACAATGGGAAAAGATTATTGAAATGTACTGAAATAAAATCAAGCACAAAATACAATATTCGGAGAAAATAAAAACAATTTAAGCATTAGGAACAAAATATAAAATAAAATCAACCTCTAAAATTATAAATAAAACAAGAGAAAAATAAATAACTGTTTAAAAGAATAAAACTAATTTAGCGAAGAAAAAATTAAAATAATTTGCTGCCTTTCGTGACAGTGGAAAATAATAAAAAGTTGGATGTACTGCTTCAAATGAGGTTACCTTCCACTATGTAAAACAGTCGATAGTGGGAAAGTATCGAGTGTATAGCCTATCAATCTCGATCGACGACTGCCAATGCGCCAAACAGCTGGGATCTTCAAAATGGCGCAGGCAAGGTGTGGTGAACCTGGAGTTGGTGAGGGTAGACGTCCACTACATGTATCTAATGTCAACAAAGGCTAGGCTCCAGTCTGGCTTTAGACCGCATCCCAGCAGTATTATGGCATTATTTTTATGTCTTAATTCCTAAGACTGGGTATTACTGCCGGACTGGGGTGTATACACAAACGAGATAATACATCGCTAATGAAGCTAAATGTATAAACAATGTACAATTCTGGAACAATCGTCCCTCAGTTTTTTACAAAAAAAAAAAAATAATAAAATAAAAAATAAACATTTAATTATTAACATTTAAAAGGGTAAAACTGTGAGAAAAAAACAAACAATTAAAGATACAAAATATGAGTGTATGCAGCGTTAACACTATTAGAGCCTATAGCACAACGGACAAACGTAATGATACCTATATTCTCAAATGATTGTCTTTGTCCAGCAGGATCTTCAAATCTTGTGGTCCAGACCTTGTGTGTTCATTTTGGCTGAATTTTTGCTCAAATATGCAAAATTTCGAAGCTCCATTCAATGGAAAGACAATTAACTGCAAACTTCAAAAACATATAACACGTAGTAAAGTTATAAATCCTTGCAGAAATTTACGGAATCTGGTGCGTTTTCAAAACTGCCGCTTTCGAACGCGTCAAATATTTGAGTTTTATTCAACTGACTTATAATTGGCTGTTTTCTAAACTGTGCAGCATTGCATAGTGCAACCCTGGAATGTGTGTTTACAAAACTGAGGGAAAAAAGTTTTGGAGAATCTTTTACTTGATTGGAAACACGAAACAATCGATTTAAACTAATTGGAAAAGATTAAAAATTCAATAATTTTAAAGATTTAAATATCAAGTTTAATGTTGGATAAGAACTTACTTACAATTACAAGTAAAAACAAGTACCGTAAGTAGTCCCAGAGTCGTTTTCGAAACCGACAAAAATTTCTAGTTTC